GCGTGTGTGAGCGGGGTCAGCCCCAATGCGCAGCAGCCGCAAGGGAGGAAGGACCGTCGTGCATGCGCCGATGCTGTCTGTATAGATAGACGTTTAGACACTGATCAACGAATGACTCTTTCCATATCAAATATCGCACCTCAGCACCCATTGCAATGAATTCGAGCCGATGGACGTTAGGGATCCCGTTTATCGTTTGGAAGCATCGCATCGCATTGTGTTGAAGACTGCCTATGTCGGAGGAGGGCAGGGATGAGCCTCGTCCGGCCCGTGAGGGCGGTATCCATCGGAAGCGGCACCGACCGCCACAGGACAACGTATACGCCACGACTACCAACTGCCAACTACGCATCAACCCTCTGTGGATGGATACATCTGCTGATGGTGTGGTTGTGTCATGTCAGCCTTCCGACGGGCAGCATTTGCGTGAGGCGGCAGTAGGCAATGACGGCAATGAAAACGACGTGAGCGGCGCGCTGCGGGCCATTGGCTGCGGGAACTTCGGGGGCAAGAATGCATCCATTCCCATGGTCTGTGTGGGTCGATCTGTGCGCTCAGGGCGCCCAGGCTCCTGCTGGTGCCAAGAACACCACTCGAGACCCCAGCAACTTCAGAAACACGCCCAAACAGTCGTCTGTGCCGCAGAGGTGAGGTGGTTTCTCACGATATATGCGTCCATCCAACCATTCCATTTGGCACGGATGACATTCTGTGAATTAATTGTGTCTGTGTGCAGGAAGGAGCTGCGGTGCAACCGCCCGCCCGACTACGTCCCACCGAAGCGCCATCGCCGCGACGACGCCACACAGACACAGCAGGCTGACGGACGAGATGACGAAGTGCACCATATGGAGTCGAGCGAGCCCGCTGCACCAGCAGCAGCTGCGGCCGCTGCGGCCGCTGTGCCGGCTGCTCCTGCGGTGGCGAGGCCTCCCTTGCCTCCCTCGCACAGAGGAGCGGTCAAGTCAAGTCTTGCGGGGGCGGGAGGGGTGGCTGTCGGGGCGATCAAGCCATGGGGCGTCCAGACGCCGCTGCACAAGATACATCGTGAGCAGGATCACAAGCAGCGCCGATGGATGGATGGATGGATGTGCACATCTCCTCTCTGACCTGGATTCTCTCTGTTTGTTGTGTTGTGATGGGTGCACACGCAGAGGGGAAGCCTACCGGTCAGAATCTGCCGCTGCCCCGTGCCAAGCCGAACCGCGGCAGTAGCGGCATCCCCAAGATCATGGACGATCGGCCCGTACTCGGCGACACACGGCAGCTCACGGACAGAGCTGACACAGACGAGGGGCGGCAGCGGCAGCGGCAGTGGCAGCAGCAGAGAGAGGGGGCGGGAGGAGGGGGCGTGGGGTTGGGTGTGGAGGATGGTGTTCTGGGTGAGGATGGCGCCGGGGATGGGGGCGAGGGAGAAAGGAGGAAGGCCCGGCGTGTCATGCAGCATGACCAGTCGAAAGCCAAAAGCGTAGAGATAGCCACAGGTACCAACTACAGAACCCACAGGAGACACACACACACACAAACACACTTACACACTCTTGCCTTCTCTGCTTCTAGGTGCTGCAGCAGCAGCTGCTGCAGCAGCTGTGCGTGTGGACCGTGCCAAGCCGCCCGCCAAGACCCCTCCCTCAGCCCAGCGTGAGCGGCGCAAGACGCTGCTGCCATCGGAGGCCCGGCAGCAGCAGCAGCAGCGGAACATCCAGACGGACATAGATCGGCTCAGCCCGGTGCCCTCGCCATCGCCCCCGCCCTCACCCACAGTGCGGGTCGTGACGCTGAACACCCTGCTGCAGCCGCCGTGGGGCGGATTCTTCACCACACCACTCAAGGCGCCCCACGTGCTCGCGCCCAAGGATGGAAAGGCAAAGGTACGCCACCCCCCACACACATATAGGGGAGGCACATATAGGGGAGGGAGGGGGGCGTGGTAGTGGCTGTGTTCATATGTGTGTGTGCGTGTGTGTGTGTCTGTATGTGTGTGATTCGTCAGTCGTCGCGCAAGCGTGTGCCCCCTGCGTATTATGAGATGTTTGACGTGCCGACCATCGGCGACCCGCCGCTGGGTGCGTACGAGGTGCTGTTCTGTTCGCACCCTGAGCGGCTGGGGCTGGAGATCCAGCTCGAGTGCGGCAGCGGGTGGATGGCGCCGCCCAGCCACGCACCTGAGGAGGAGAAAGAATGGGGCAGACCGCTCACACCACACAGAAGACTACCCCGACACAGGTGCGTCGGTGGCATGGGGCGGCGATGGACGAATGGCGGTTTGATCTCTCTCTCTCTCTCTGTTTTGTGCTGCATGTGTGTCATGTGTGCAGCGTGTTGAACCCTGACAAGGACAAGGAGGCCCGTTCGCTGTCACAGATCCTGATGCCGCCGCCCGACCCCATCCCCCCCACGATCACGCCCTACCGCCGACCACTCACACCCCCCCTGCCACCCCAACCCAAGTCGAGAGCACCCTCTGCATTCCCAATGCCATTCAACCCCTCCCCGGGGATGTGGGTGGCTCCCATGATGAATCGCAGCCCGCTCGAGCGGCCCCTGACGCCCAATCGGGGTCTCGGGTGGGAGGGAGAGGAGGGGCAGGAGGGCGAGGAGCAGGTCAAGGACATGGTCAACCACCTCATCACACAAGTGGAGGAACAGCAGCAACACCAGCAGCAGCAGCACGCCATGGACTTCTCCCCGGCCGCCCCGCGGCCCATCTCGCCACCCCCACCCAGGAAGGCGCGTCTGGGCGTGTCCAAGATGCTCGAAGAGACCAGGAAACGGCTGGAGCGGGAGGGCCAGGGTCAGAATGGCCAGGGCAGCGGGGGAGGAGGAGGGTTCGACTTCCTGCGTGGCGTCTCGCCGGTGTTTGTGCGGCCCCGCCCTATGTCGGCCGGTCCTGCCCCTACCAGCGGCGTGTTTGAGTGTGTTGGTGAGGTTGGGGGGCTGCGCGCGCCCGAGAACAGTCCCCATGTGGGTGTGAGTGGTGGTAGCGATAGCGATGGGATGGATTTGGTGCCGCCGTCGCCGAGGCCAATGGCGCGGAGACCTCGGAAGTCCACCGGCAACCTCATGGACAGTGAGTCAGGGAAGGGGGGGTGGCGGGGGGGACGCATATATCGATGTGTGTGTTGGGTGGTGTTTATGTATGTCAGTTTATAACGATCCGGAGTTTTTGGCTGCGCAGAAGGAGATTCTGAACAACGGTCGGTGTGCCCAAACCAGACGGCTGTGCATCAAATGTACTCATCCACGCCTTTGTTTGTGTGTGTGTGGTGTGTGTGCAGATTCCACGAGTGAGGAGCGCAAGGTGTACGAGATAGCCATGGCGGCCGGCCGCCGTCAGTTGGAGCTAGAGGGCGGAACCGAAGACGAGAAACAGCAAAGTGAGGGCCAATGCAATGCCCCCCTGTCATGTCAGCCCTTTATGCGTGTGTGCGTGTGTATGTGTGTGTCCCACATTCATTGGTTGCAGCTGCCGCATTGTTGGACATACTGGACAACGCCTACCTGGACGCCCTTGAGGAGGCCGAGCGGGATAGACCTGAACAGATACTCGTGGTGGGTGGGTGGGGGAGGGAGGGAGGGAGGGAGGGAGGGCACAGACACATCTCAACACACACAGGCCCATGATGTGTATGTGTATGTGTGTGTGTGTGTGTGTGTGTTGTGCAGTTTGACGACAAGCCAGGTACCGGCAAGAAGCAGCTGTCGCCTCTCGAGCAGAAGGTAGGTCAACACAACACAGAGAAAGGGGTTCGTATACCTATGTTCATGTCTCCTATGCATCTGTGTGTGGGGGCATGGGTATATGCAGGAGGCGGAGCTTGACCTGGAGATAGCCATCCTGCGGGAGAAACTGCGCAAGTACACAAACCATACCGCCGTGACAAACCATACCGCCGTGACCGAAAAAATGCATTACTGTGTTGTCTGTCTACCATGCGCGTGTCTGTGGCTGGCATTGGTGTGTGGGTGTATCCATCCATTAGGGGTGAGGACGCCATGATGGAGTGGCGCGCGGCCATCCAAGAGTACGAGCAGGCAACCGTACCTGAGCCTTCACAAGGTGACGACCACATTGACAACAACACCGACCAAGACATGATCAAACAAGGTGGGCGGCTCACACGCCGTCCACCCACTGATCTGTCAATGTTGTGTCAGGTGTAGAGGAGCCTGCTGCTGCTGCTGCTGCTGGTGCTGCAGAAGGGCCTGATGTGCTGCAGCTGCCGACAGCAGAGCAGTGGCGCAGCCTCATGGACAAGGTACGTGAATCGATGGGTGGCGGACACTGAAGGAAGAAGCCGCAAGTGTGGTTCGCTCACCTCCCCCCCTCTCTCTGTGTGTATATGTGTGTGTGTCTTTGTGTGTCAGTTTGTGTTGTATGAGATGATGGCCAACGCCAACCTCCTCGAGGTGCACAAACTCGGCAAACTGCAGGTAAAGTGACTGACGGTGGCACGCGAAAGAGAACAGAGGAGACACAAGTGGCTTGCCTGCCCCCCATATGTGTGGTTGGTTTACAGGAGGAGTTGGCCCGCGCTATGGCGGCGGAGACGTACCAGGACATTCCCTACGCACACTCACCCGGCAGACTCATATTCAACTTCCAGGTACAGTGCTTGCCGGCCTCTCAACACACATATACACACACACATGCGCAGTCAATCCCATCCCTCTCGCATGTCTCCATCCATCGATCAGCGTGTGGGTGGCGGCGGCCGTCTGTCGATCGGCGGCTCCCCATCTCCCGCCATGTCGCCCCACTGTGGGTTCCGCTTCTCGCCCTCCCCCTCACCCCAGGTGCCCGCACCCGCCGCCACACGAACGAGACTCAACCCGATGACCGACATCAAAGAGGGGGTGGCGGCGGCAGCTGTGGATGGCTGAGAGTGGCGGATAGCTGGGCTGATGGGGAAGGGTCGGCTGGATGGACGTGGAGCTGCTTAGATTGGATTGTGTGCGTGAGTGCATGGGTAGGCGGGTGGTGGGGAGAGAGATAGCGCGGATTCATAGAGCTACACTTGCATCCGCCGATGGAAGGAAAAATACCGGCGAGAAAAAGACCGCGTCGAGACAAGACCTCTGTCTGCCTCCAATGGCCTCCCGTTGTTCGCAGAAAACGAAATCCAAACGCGACGAGATTTTCGCGAGCTGAGACGGAGACAAAATATTTACGAGCTCGCAGTCCATTTTTCACATTTTCCGTCCGCGTTTGGCTTTGCAGCCTTATTTCGGCCACATTTCCTCCATTTCCTTTTCTTTTCAGCTGGTTGTTGGCTTGTGTTGTCCGCCGCATCTCCCTCTACCATTCCCAACTCGTCCGGATGTCATCGGCCACTTTTTCCCTCCTCCGCCGTGCCCCGGGCGGGCGCCTCGTTTGTTGACTCCCTACCTTATGCGGAGCGGCTGGCGACTGCCTGGCGCCTGCAGAGTGCGCATGCACCTTCCTCTCGCCCAAAACGACTCAGGTGAATACATATGGTTGGGTGTGGGCATAGTAAGTGTTGCTTGGTGTGATGATGGTTTGGTGTTTTGATGATGTGTAGGGATGAACCGTATCAAACGAAAAAACCCAACCAACTCCATGCGGAGGCCGCAGGACGCCAACGCATTCGTCGTCAAATTGTCTCAAGAAATACTCAGAGAATGAGGTACGTAGACTTGCCTTGTGGATGGATGGATGGATGCATTCCTTGTGCAGTTCAGTTCGCCTGTCGTCCGTGCCGGTAGTCATCCGAGTGTGGTCAAGGCCTGCATCGCCAAGGCCCTCAAAGTAAAATATGGGCCAACACAAGGGTTCAAGGAGTCATTGCCATCGACCGAGCGTCGTTTGTTTTCTTCTTTTTCGTTTAATCTCTTTTCCGTCTCTTCAACGCAGAGGGACCATCGGGAAGAAAGAAACACGCCGCTCCGCTCCGCGCCGCGCCGCGCCGCTCCGCATCGCTCAACACCTCATGAGGTGCATGCCTCTCTGTGTGTGGCGGTGATCAATGTCTTTCTGCAGAGACGAGCACAGCTGCCCGGGTTGAGCACACATACGCGACCACCATACTAGATCCTTCCCTACAAGGAGATCCTCCGGCTCAAATGTCAAGTGGAGAAGGGATGCGCTGACAAGGTGGACGAGGCCGTGAAGTACCATGAGTCGCAGGGCACTGCGCTGTGACGAGCGTCGTCAAACGGGGTGAGTGAGGGAGGCGTCACACACCAGAGGTGCTGGTGAAATGACCGGACGAGGCTATATATTTTGCCTTCTACCTTTGCTTTAGGCCGCGCATGAGAAGGAGAAGAGAGAGGAGACTGCCAGGGCATAAAGAGAATGGTGAGCAAAAGGTCGCGTGGGTGGGTGGGTGGGTGGGCGGGTATGTATTCGATGCTTTGTGTGCTCTGTGTATTTCAGCTTCAGTTGTGGTGCCCCGCCAGTGCCTGCGGGCGACCTGCCTGCCCCACAAGTGTACGCCGGACCCCCCACAATACACACACTACACACACTCTATCACATCGTGTCCTGTCCGCTCGTCGATTTCACGCCCAGAGAGGAGCGGCGGTGAGTTGAGCGAGGAGGAGAGGGGCAACGTGGCTGGCCAGACGGCTGCCGCCGATGAAGGGCACCCCGCCAGCCGGCTGCAGCGGGACATCGCAGCACTGGGTACGTCACATGACACATCACAAAACCGGATCGATGAGACGGACGGGCATGTACACACGGTGATTCATGTGTTCGTCCTTTGTGTATTATGTGTGTCATTCATCGATCAGACGTGACGCCAGAGGCCCCTGTGTCTGTGGCCCTGCCGTCAGCTGCCGCCACCTGGACGGTCACTGACAAGTTCAAGTCGCCTGACGGCATCGGGGTGTCCAGGAACAACGTGTTCTTCAGTCAGCTGCACAACGGCCACCACACACTCCCCTGCGTCAGGAAGGTCGCCAGGTCGCGCAAGGAGCGCATTGAGGCGGCGTACTTGTACCTGCTGACCAGGGCACACGGCGCCAGGACCCGCCCGACCGACGCACCGCTGCCCACCCCCAGCGATCAGGTGGCCTACCGGAAGGGCGTGGTTCCGCAAACGGTCCGCCCCGCGATCGAGGACGCCCTTATCAGAGGCGAATATCGGCGGGCGCAGAACCTCTACTGCCTCGGCGGGCCCATCTACTCCCTGTTCGTTGCGAGCGGGGAGGGGCAGGCCATGCAGCCGGGGCAGGAGGCTGCGAGCGAAGTGGCCGTGGTGGAGGACCTCCACAGCGAGGAGGACGCCAAGCGTTGCCCGCACGGCAGCTTCCTGGCACTGAAGGTGCTGTTGTTTCCCCCGGGAGACGCCTCCGTGCTGCCAGTGCTGGGCAAGAAGGCGGATGAGGCGGGGCTGGGGCTGGGGAGCGGTGAGCCGGTCCACCGCC